TTTGTGTGATTGTAATCCTTTGTACTCTCATTGAATTAGTGCAATCTCCCCATCCTCTCCCCGTGGACGTAGGCAAGTTGCCGAACCACGTATATCTCTGTGTTTGGTTTGCCAAATATGTAAATGCTTTAAACTAGGCTTTCGACCAGTCCAAAGCTCATAAGGTGTTTTAGCAACTGCTTTACTTGATACTCTATTCAGAGTAAGCTGCTGTCTTAAGTGCTTCTCCCCAGAGAGACTCTGGTAAAGAAGAATGAGCAATCATACTTCTTTGCCGAACCACGTATATCTCTGTGTTTGGTTTGATTTGTCGTAATTGGCTTGATTTGTGTAAGAGTGTGCCTTTCTTCTTCCGTGATCACAAGTTCGTTGTGTGTGCGTGCAACACTTCCGCATAGGCGCGCGACAGAATCTCAGTTGAAACAATTTTATGTTGAACATGTTCGTTAGGTTTTCTTTGATGCATAGAAAACACACTAAAGCGTTTTTCCAGAATCCAGCCTTTCATAATTTAAAACCAAGAACATGAACATACAATTTCATGTTAAATATTGTGCATAAAGAATTAGGTTTCACATTTTTGCATTCAGGATCAGTGGGATTCTTCTTCAGTTCTTACTAATAGTCGACTCTTTAAGACATGGCTACTTTAATAGGGAAACCTTAAAACTATAATGAGATGTGTATCCATAGATGGAATTATGTAGAAATTCCTCGTTCATAGGGCATCTTATAGCACGGAGATCAAGGTGAAAGTTAGTTGTTAATCCAGTTATCGGACACATTGGACGAGTCAAATTGTATCATAATCGGATACAAACAAGTTCATGTTTTGAAAGTTTCATCCATCAGCTATTGACGAGTCAAATTGTATCATAATCGGATACAAACAAGTTCATGTTTTGAAAGTTTCATCCATCAGCTATTGCAAAATCAACAATAGAAGAAATGAAGTACAAACAAGTTCATGTTTTGAAAGTTTCATCCATCAGCTATTGCAAAATCAACAATAGAAGAAATGAACTGTTATGTAATGAACTTTGATATGATACCTCTTTTGACTCGATTTTATTTGTGTGTGTGTATGTTTGTGCATATTTAGTATTGCTTTCATTAATATTTAATGAAAAGTGTGTGTGTGTATGCATATTTAGTATTGCTATCATATACTAGTTATACTAATCGACTTATAATATTTCCCCAGTGACTAAAGTTTATGGGTCCAGTCCTGATAGGGAGATGTTGGTTATGTAAATATCAGTCTTCTTTTCCATTCTTATTTTTGCTCTTGATGATGTTGTTGTTGTATTATGACAACTACAGGTAATTATCCTTGCGCGAGAGTCTGGTTTGAAGCTAGAGCTTTCCGATATCAAGATTGCAAATCTTATCGCAGAGCCATTAAGAGTGAGACTGACACATAAATATGTAATTAGTTGTCTTCTGGAAAATAGAAGATTACTCACGCTTCTTTTGGTATATGATGCGGCATAAACATGTATCAAAAAGGTTGCAAGTGCACAACCGTGTCAAGTTATAGTATTTAAGATATCGATCCCACGAGGAAGGTGTTTTGTAGGAGAAAATATGAAATCGGTTCTTATGTTGTGTGCGTGACAAGTAGGAGTGATAAGTGAATGTGATTGTGAAGAGATTGAGAGAGTGAAAATGGTGTGTAAATAGGTGCAAAGTGTAAGTGAGAGTGGATTTGAAAAAGAATGAGTATGATCAATAAGGTGAGAAGGAAAAAAATGAATAAAATCAAGAAACAAATAAAAAAATCAAGAATGAAGAACAAAATTCTAGAATAAAAGAAAATGCAAGAAATTAAAGATGGTGGATTCAATTATAGATATGAGTAATCTACAATTGAACCCACTTCTTAGAAAATGGTGATTCCCTAGAGGGTTCTAGCCTAAAGGCGAATCAAACAAAATAAAAATAAACAAAAAGAAAAACTAAACCCAAGAGGGTTCTAGCCTCAAGGTGAATAGTATAAAAAATTAAAATCTAACTACAAAATAAATTACAAAATCTAAACTACAAAATAAAATTATTAGAATTAAATGCAAGAAAATAAATCTACTCTATAAGCATGAAATAAATCTAAGGCAAGAGGGTTCTAGCCTCTTGGCTATTTAACAAGAAAATAAAATCTAACTACAAGCATAGAAATAAATCTAAACTAATAAGCAATAAAAGAGAAAAAGAAAAGAAATGCAAACCTTCAAATAATTCTCCATCTTCATCTTCATCTTCATCATCCAACAAAGAGAAGAAGAGAAAAATTTAAAGTGGTGAAAAAATTATTATTATTAATTGCAACAAAAAGTTACAACTTTAGAAGGCCTTCTCAATTAAGAGTAGCACTCCTCTCCAAAAGGAGTTACAAAAATTTTCACACCCTTAACCCCTCACTCTCTACCCCTATTTATAGTAATCTTCAATGAATATGAGCCATTGGATTTGTCTTAAGCCCCAAGCAAAGCAATATCCACCTTTGAATTTGCTTTTTGTTCTTCTCTAGCCCAAACATAGGAGGCCCAATTGATTTTCAAAAATAAATGGAAATCAAGTTGGAACAATCAGTAGGTCCGGTCCATTAGAATTTTCAGCCCAATTCGGTCTCCATTCATGCAGCAGGTCCGGTGGCATATGAGTCCTTTTGATTTTCAAAAGAAAATCAAAATCCGGCCCATTCAAAATTTTCATGGTCTATTGGCATTGTGAAACTCAAGTCTTTAAAACTGCAGCACCCAAAGTTCGGTCTTTTGATTTCCAACTCTGCAGCAGTCCAGTCTGGCCCCCATTCATTTGATTAAAATCTTCAGCCCATGTCCGGTCTTGAAGAGTTGATTTGATTTTCAACTTCCAAAGTCTGCAGCAACCTATCCACATTTCATTTGATTTTCAAGTCCAAGCAAAGTCCGGCCCAATGCATTTGAATTTCAAAATTAAATTGAAGAGCTTCAAGCAAAGTTCACAACTCCGGCCCATGTGGAAATCCAACTCCAGCAGCCACTCAAGTCCGATTGCTTTGCTTTATAGTTTTTTCAAATTTACATCTCCAGCAGCTAAGTTAGGTCCATGAGAGCTCATTTGTTGATGGGCTTTGGGCCTTCAAGCTTGAGAAAAAATAGGAGGAGCTGTCATGGATGTTTTGGGCTTTTAAAATCAAATATTTTACTTTGGCTTCTTGAATTTCTCTTATTTCTTCATTTACTCAAGGGCCTTTGTTGAGAGATGAGATTTTTGGGATTTATTCTTTATTAACCTGCAATTAAAGATAAAAGTAATTATTAGTGGTATATTTATTCATATAAAATAGATAATGAGAGTATAAAATTGTAATAAAATGTGATTATCAAATACCCCCATACCTAAACTTTTGCTAGTCCTCTAGCAAAAAAAATAAAAAGAAAATTCTAACTCGCTTTCGTAGGAATCGCGGTTGTATTTAGTGTATACAACAAGCCTTTGAACCCCTAGGTTACCTTAGTGGACGAGTTGTAGTCTCGTGAGGGTTTGCAGTGAATATACCCACAAAATTCGGTCAACTTGCCAAATTAAAGAAGTCAGTAAATAACTAAATTCACTTTATAACTTTTAGATAATCTAATTGGAGCCAGTTATCACTCAAGAAAATATTTTTATATATAACTCTAAGGTATATTTTTAAGAAAATCTTCTCATTGTAGCAATACAAAACCAAACCAAACTTAGAAATTTAATTTAAAAGTTTTGAAAAGAACATGCTAACTCTTTGTTTTAAATAATTTTTAAGTTGCTTGCTTAAAATATTTTCCAAGACCATATGTACAACTATAAAACATTTATTAAATTTTTTTTAAGTCTTTCATCCTTGGTTATTTTTTTTCTATTTTAACGGGCTTTCTAAGTGACCATTTAACGAGTTTTGGGCAAATGGATCCCAACCCAAATGAGCTTAGGTCATTAAGTATGGAAATACTCATTGAGCTTAATTACTCGGTCACCTTAGGCTTAATAAGATAGAATCACCTTGAATTAAAGAGTTTTTTTTGTGCCCATTTTCCGCACTCTTCTTTTGCAATTTTTTTTTTGTATATGTATATATATTTTGAAAATATGTAAATGAAGACACTTTGAAAAGAAATTATTTTCAACTCTAAGTTAAGCATGCAAAAATTTTATTATTTTAAATAAAAGTCCAAGTTAAGGCTAAGTTAAGCATGCAAAAATTTTATTATTTTAAATAAAAGTCCAAGTTAAGGCTTAAGTAAAGTATACTACTTTGAAAATCATTTCTTAAGAAATTTATTTAGAGTTATCATAAAAAGTGAACTTTAGTAAATAACCAACTAGAGATTAGAAAATTTCAAATTTATCAAATAAATTAATTATTACATAACTCTATCAATTTGGCAAGTGACGATATTTTTATAAATTTTTTTAAAGAAAAAGGGGGAAAATGTAAAATAAAGAGAAAAAATAACTAATTCTCACCACTAGTAGAAAAATGGGCATCCTTGACGGGCTTTCCCGTCAGGGATGTCAAATTTTCCATCAGGGATACGTATCCTTGACGGCTTCCCGTCAAGGATACGCCGTCAGAAAAAGTCCCGTCAGGGAAGAAACATCCCTGACGGGATGCCGTCAGTAATAAGTATTACTGACGGCATCTTCCCTGACGGCTCCCGCCGTCAGGGATGTTGAAATATCCCTGACGGCCTTCCCGTCGGGGATGTGCAAAACAAAGCCGTCAGGGATAAACATCCCTGACGGCGTGCCCGTCAGGGATGTTATGAACATCCCTGACGGGCATGCCGTCAGGGATAAACATCCCTGACGGCGTGCCCGTCAGGGATGTTATATAATCACCAAAAAAATATGCACTACATTTGAATATATGTTGATTTCATGCAAAATTCCTGTATACAATCCCTGCACTACATTTGATTTATATGCAATCCAAATTTCACAACAATCTTCACAATCATCTCGCATACATTCAAATTTCATAAATTTCGTGCACTTTCCATATCTAGTATCTCGCATACATCCACTACATTCAAAATTTTTACAATCCAAATTTCACAAACATTTAAAGAAACATGCATAAATTCAAATTTCACATTTCATAACTAATATCTCGCATATATCAACACCGTACATTCAAAATTTTCGCAATCCAAACGTCACAAATAACAAACCACTTCAAGCTTGGCCTAAAACAATCAAACTACAGGCACTTCCTAATACTATGCGCAAGGAACATCATTTCAAATAGGGAATCATTGACCCCCAAAAAAAAAGATTTAATGTCATCAGATACCAGCTTGACTACCACTTCCTCTCTGCTCTGAACATTAACAACTGCAGACAAGAAAAAACAGTTATAAACTCATATTCCTAATCGAACCCATGAAGTGAACACAAGACATACAATATTATTAATGAAGTGTTAATCTGAACATTAACACTTGCAGCTTTTGTGTCTCATGACAAACAATATTATTAATGAAGTTTGTGTGCTCAAGAAACCATGTCCCATGAAGTGAACACAAGACACTTGCAGCTTTCATGTATTAGCGTGAGACAAAAAGAGGCCGAGTGGCAAGTTAATGAAGTTCTGTTGCATTACCTCCTCTATTTTTCTTCTGTAGATGGCCATATGTCCTTGAAATATATATTTTCCCCATCCTTTCCTGTTCCAATTGGTTCTTTTTCAAAATCAATGTCAACCTAAAGATGTTTAACACGCAAAAACTCAGAGAGCATTACAGTTACATGCAAATTGCAGGTGTGCAGCGAAGGAACTACTCTCCACTGGCATATGACTAAGAAAGACCAGAAGAATATGAACATGAGTAATTCTCATCCACAATAGCATATATGATGTATGAGATTTCTAAGTACAGTCACTAGACCTCCCCAGAAACCTTCAAACAAAAAATAGGCCAAAGCAAATACTTAAATAAAAGGAAAGGCCTCTAGTTTGAAATGCAAGATGTCAATAAAGTCAGGAACGATCTTATTAAAGTATTTGAAGGTAAAATGACTAGATTATTACAATTTACAAATATATAAATACAAGAAATAAATAAAAACTAAGGATCAAGACAATACCAACATCGACATATATTTTCTCATGTGCTGCGTCGACCTAATAGCATCAAACAATAAATTAAGTATTCATTAGTTCTGTATAAAGCCAACAGTAAGAAAGAAACTTTATAAGAAATGCACCTTGAGTTTTAGTGTTTCTACAGACACTGGAAGGATAACTGTTAAGGGGCATATCAATCAATGTCGTTATACCACCTGAAAGAGAACATAAATCACCACTCTAGATTAGAATATGAATGAAACCATGATACATGCTTAACTAAAGTCTGAATTTTTTTATAATCTCCAAAGTAGTGAAACAATTTAGAAACAAAACAGTATCAAGTGAAATAAGAAATATTTCCCACAGCAAATAAAATAACACTAGAACTTGATAGGATTGTATTGTACTGTATACTAAGTTTCAAACTTTCTTATCCTTGAAAGACTGAACAATTAGATGTTTATACCAGTTTATTGAAAGGACCAGCCATAAGAGTGGACATGTGAGAAAGACAGAAGCATTGTGAGAAAGAAAATCCAATATGAATATTCTACTTTTGTAAAGTGAGTAAATGACACATCAATTTTATTTTAACGGACTCTCTGGCCACATGATTTCATCAAAAGGTCCATTGTTGTCTAAAGTGTCATATCTTTAAATATCTTCTAATACAAGTTTTCACTGCACATGGCTTGTGATTATCAAATTTGAGCTTTCTTCACAGTACATTATATGATGAAATTTCACTTTACATTGCAGTTCATGCAAAAATGAATCAGATTGTACAAGTAACTATAACTTAATATAAATTTTGGGAATACAGAGAACAGAGATATCTTTAATAAACATAAATGTATCAGAACAATATGAAAACTTGCGTTTATTCCGATTTAGAAATAATCTTTACACAAGCATCATTCTTTCTGAGCAACTAGACATATAAAAATAAATAAACTTAAAGAAAGCTCCACCAAGAACTTTTCTACCACAAAATAAAGCCGAACTTGCATCATTATTATGAGTCTCTTTTGGTATTTTTCAAGCAAAGAAGCACACAAGTTAGCTGCATGCTTGCTAATTAACAAACTTGCAAAACAAAAACACAGTGAAATATTCAACACCATATATGCTCTTATTATTCACTCGACGTATGGGGGTACTGTTACTATTTAACAGTGTAATCAAACACAAATTAACAAATTCATCCCCTACCCAGAAATTCGACAATTATCCATATCACTAACAATCATCCATTGTCAATGATCACCTAACAAGATAGTGAGCACAAACAACAAATTTTAACACACAATATATATAGTAAAACACAGAGTTAAATAAAGCGATCTAGCTCGCATCAATCATAATCATCCAATAACACAAAGGACCATATTCCTAATCGAACCCAGAAGCCCAAATGAAGTAAAATTCTATCAAGAATCCACTGTCAAAATTTCAAGAATACCCCCACCCCACCCCACCCCACCCCATCCCCTCTATCGGCATCTTTCAGGACTTTGCCCCTGCAAATCAAGTTCACGGCGGAGCCCACGGCGGTCGATCGCCGGCGGACTTTGTCCCTGAGCAATAAGAATTGTAGCCATGGGATCTTGTAACAAAACAATGCGTTGGTGGCTGTACAATTGATTATCAAGAATTCAGGTGCTTACTTGTTGAGTTGATGCAAGGGCGGCGAGCGCGGCTTTAGGCTGAGATCTGGCGAGGGCGCGGGTTGTGGGAGGCGAGCGGGCGGGGTTGGTGGAGGCGAGCGGTCGTGCAAGGTCGGCAGAGCGGCGCGTCGTTAAGGATGAGATCTGCAGAATGAGGAGAGAGAGAGAGAGGGGGGGGCTGAGAATGAGAAAGTGGGGCGGCGCTGCTAGGGTTTGGTTTGGAGGTTTTTAGAGGGAGCGGGAAATGAAAATAGAAGCGGCGGGAAAGAAAAAGGGCGGGAGATAAAGCCAACATCGCTGACGGGCTAGCCGTCAGTGATGTTTATATCCCGTCAGCGATGCAAACATCGCTGACGGTATTGAAAAACTTGTGATGGTAATATTTCTGACGGTTAATCCCGTCACCAATATAAACATCGCTGACGGCATTGTCCCGTCAGTGATGTTGCCGTCAAGAATACCCATTTTTCTACTAGTGCACCCCCCACACCTAAATTTTGCATTGTCCTCAATGCAAACTCTATGATGCATAAAGTAAAACAGATAAGAAGTGAAGCACTTACATTTGGTCGGCTGATAAAAATCTGCAATTACCTTTGGTCTGAGGATTTGGTCGGCTGATAAAAATCTGCAATTACCTTTGGTCTGAGGAGGATAAAAACAAAAATTTATTCTTCTTTCTCTTTTTCCTTTCTTTTTTTTCTTTTTTTTCTTTTCTTTTTTTTCTTTTTTTAACAACTGAACAAGAAACTCTCATATGAGAGAAGAATAATAACTTTTTATTATTCTGAAATAAACAAAATAAACAATGTAGAATGAAATATTCAACATGAAGAATTCATGTTCTACATTGAATCCTACCTTACTGTTGAAAATTCTTTCCCGGATTTTAAACAAATTTAGAATGATATAATCAATAATGTGAATTTTCAAGCATTTCGGGGTGTTTAGTAGTTCTTGCAACAAAGTAACGTACATATTATTGGTGTCATGCATTTTACATGTCTTAATGATCTTAGACTCTTGTATTGTAAAGTTTTGTTTTCTAACAACCAATTCTTCTGTGAAGTTTTAAAAATTTGGTTGTTGATTATTCTCCAAGAATCTAAGTTCATCAAGAATGAGTTCTTCAAAATTTAGTTCAAAGCAGCACATGTTTAACACAGTTTTATTATTCTCAAGGATCTGATCTGCTTCTTCTAAAAACTCTAACTCTTCATCAAAAATTTTCTCAAAACTCAAATCAGACTCTTCTTCTTCTTCTTCTGATCTTTCCTGAATGTAGTTTATTTCTAGAGGCTGATTATTTGGTTGGTCCCCTGGATTAAAAATGTTGAGATCAGCAGTCAAATTCCCAAAGGACAACTTCATTTGACCAGTTCTATAGTTGATGAGAGCATTAGAAGTGGCTAAGAACGGTCGTCCTAAGATGACAGGTGTCTGTCCTTTGGGATTGGAAACAGGCTGTGTTTCCAAGACTACAAAATCTACTGGAAAAATAAAATCTCCAACCTTAATCAGAACATCCTCTAACTCACCCATAGGGACCTTGACAGATCTATCAGCCAACTGTAAGGTGCATTTGGTTGGGTTCAGTACACCTAGACCCAATTGCTGATAGACTGAATATGGAAGCAAATTGACACTGGCCCCTAAGTCTAAAAGCGCCTTATCAATGTGAGTATTACCAATGATACATGAAATGATGGGGGAACCTGGATCTTTACGTTTCAAAGGTATGGGATTTGACAGCATTTCACTGATATTGGCGGCTAAAAAGACTTTCTTTGGAACATTTATTCTCCTCTTCTTAGTGCACAATTCTTTTAAAAATTTAGCATAAGATGGAATTTGTTCAATTACATCTAAGAGAGGAATATTGACCTTAACCTGCTTGAATGTTTCTAGGATCTTCTCCTCCTGAGGAGAGTGTTTCCTAGACCTGAGTCTATCTGGAAAGGGAGCAACCGGTCTAAATCTATCAAAAGCAGGCTCAGGTTCGGGTTCAGGTTCTTGGTCATCTGAGGGGAGTGATTGTTGAATAGATTCATCAGAAGGAGAAGGAGAAGGAATTTGTACAGGATCAAGAGTTTGACTTGGAGGAGTTCTCACTTGATTATCGACCTGTCTACCTGACCGAAGTGAATGGATTGCATTCACTTGAGCTTCATAGGATGAAATGTATCCTGTGTTATTAGGGTTAACCACGGGTTGACTCGGAAATTTTCCTTTCTCTCTTCCACTCACGACACTAGCTAGTTGACCAAGTTAGGATTCTAATCTAGCTATAGCTTGAGTGTTGGAGTTGAGCATTTGTCCGGTTGATTGCATGATGGAATTCAGCGTGCTAGACGTTTGAGTCAACATATTCGTGGTTTGAGTAGAGGCCTTAATTATGGTTTCTAAACTCCTTTCCAAGACATTGAGACGTTTATCCTGATCTGGATTGTGAGGAGTCTGAATTACAGCTTGATAAAGAGGAGACTGATTTTGATACGGCAGATTGGGTTGTTGAAATTGTGAATGAGAATTGAACAGGACTGTGTTTCCCCTAGGAAAATGTTAGGTCGAAGCGGAAGTGAAGTTTTGAGTTCCGGGAGAATTTCCTAGATTCCATGTAAAGTTGGGATGATTTCTCCAACCTGAATTATAGGTTGGAGAAAATGGATCATTTCTAGGGTGCTGGAATGCAGCGTTCATATGTTCTAATGAATTGTTGTTTCCTAGGAGAGGGCATTCCTCTGAAACGTGGGTAGGAGACTGACAATTATGACATCCTGAGGTAGAAACATGATTGATTTGAGCTGGAGCTCGTTCCTTAATTTCTAAAGCTTCTAACCTTCGCAGAATTGTCGCCATCTTCGCTTCAGACGCAATGTTTGACTCTAAGGAAAGACCATAAGACTTAGATTGGGGAACTGATGAAACCCTATCATCGCACTGTTCTCATTGCATTGTTTTTTCAGAAAGACTCTCCAAAAACTCTCAAGCTTCATCAGCATTTTCCCTCATAAAATCCCCATGACACATTGATTCTAAGGAATTTTTTACAGAATAATCTAATCCCTCATAAATTATTTGGCACAATCGCCATTTTTCTAAACCGTGATGAGGACATTGGATGAGAAGATCTTTAAATCGGTCAAAATACTTCCAAAAAGATTCTCCCGGGATAATTTTAAAGTTTTGAATGCTGTTCCTAAGCTTTACCGTTTTATGAATAGGGAAAAATTTCTTAAGAAAAATGGTGACAAATTCATCCCAAGTTGAGATGGAATTTGTTGGTAAGCTGTACAACCATTTTTAAGCTTTATCCTTAAGAGCAAATGGAATAAATCTAAGCTTAATCGCATCTTCGGTTAATTCTCTCACTTTAATCATAATACACACTTCCTCAAATTCCGAAATAAAAATATATGCATCTTCTGTTTCATTACCAATGAATTTGGGAAGCATGTTTATGTATTACGGTCTAAGCTCAAAATTTATTCCATTTGTTTTGGGGAGTCTAATGCACGAGGGGATTGCATTCCTAATGGGATAGCACATATTATGAAGAACAGGTGGATTAGGATGTTCCATTTCTATGATTGGTTCAAAATGAATTAATCGACGTGTATTATCCCTAATCCACTGTTGCATACACCAAAATATTTCTTTTTATATTTATTTTTATTTTTTTTAAAGAAAAAAAATTAGTTTTGTTTTTTTAATGAGAAGAAGAAAAGGATAAAGAAAAATCTTAACTAAAACAAATCAAAACAATCACTTTTCAATCACTCTAATTCTAGGGTTTAGCTTAATTCACTAGACCAGCTCCTAACCAAAAACTCCTACAGTAAAAAGGTAAAAGTTTTACCCAGATAGTTAGCCAGGTAAGGATAGTAGTAGAGGGTGATCAAAGATCAATTAAGTACCTCTTTCCTTACGGAGCGCTTTACGCAACCCCTAAACCTTGCCTTAGACACCAACTAATCTGAGAAAACTTAAACCGGTTCACTTAAGGATTTCTTGTTCCTTATTGAGCTCGAATCCTTAGGGGCCAACATCTAATGAGTTTTATTAGGCTTGGGTAGTGTAGTGAGGAATTAGTGATTTTTGGGCTAAGGAAAGGGTGATGAAATCCCTCACCTTATCTTGATTATGGGGTTTTGCCCTTAAAAATATTTTTAAGTGTGTGCCAAATCAAGATGCTCAAATCACTTGGTGAATTCCTACTATCAATATGAAATGCAACCCTATGAATTAAAAGCAACTAAAAAGGATGGAAAAGAAAAATCTTTTTTTAATTAGGGTTAACAATCAAACAAATGAGAAGGAGGGATTTGTTTGAATTTATTATCTTGTTAGTAAATGTCAAAGTGGAGGATAAATTTTATTATGGTTAACAAAAAAAAATCCTTTTTTTAAGTCCTAATTGTCTCTAATTGTGAAGAAGTAGCTAAAGGGTGGAATTAAAAACTAAAAAGATGACTTACCCGAAAGCAAATCTTCAAATCCTAGCTCTCCAATCCGCGATCTTCAAGCTCCAAGCGTTTCCTTCACAAAAAACACACAAGTTAAAGAACCAAAATAATTAAAACCTACTTAAGCACCTTCCCCGGCAACGGCGCCAAAAACTTGATGCGACATAAACATGTACCAAAAAGGTTGCAAGTGCACAACCGTGTCAAGTTATAGTATTTAAGATATCGATCCCACGAGGAAGGTGTTTTGTAGGAGAAAATATAAAATCGGTTCTTATGTTGTGTGTGTGACAAGTAGGAGTGATAAGTGAATGTG